CCCCAAAACCCCAAAACCCCAAAACCCCAAAACCCCTATATAAGCACATAAAGTTGGAAGGTAATTTAATATTAATAAATAAGCTATATGAGCTTTTGGAAACACTATAAAGCATTATGCTTGAAGAATGTGTATTTATACAAAAGGAACTGGAAGGGATCTCTTTGAGAACTCCTCTTTCCAGTCCTGATGATTCTCTTAGTTCTCCTAATGAGAATTGCGATTTCAAAGGACAAAAATCAGCCCAAAAGTATGCTAGACTCAGGATACTTGTGGTATGATCAAGGCTCTGTTACTGCCAATAAGGAGTTTGGAGGGTACTCGATTTTTGAGAATGGAACTAAATGGTTTGATTACTGCTTTGATAGAAAAGATACTCCAGATAGAACTATCATTGCTCTAGCTCCTTCAGGAAATACTATCATTCAGAATATAAAAACAAGACTTGAATCTGACTTATTGCCGACTTATAATTTCACAGTGAGTCTATATAATTCAAGAGACGAGATTATGAAGGCTATCACTGCTTCTGATTACGAGCAGAACGGGAATCCAGGAATTTGATTCGGATCAGCTTTTACAGAAGCATCAGCAGATAAGATTACAGTAAACATGATCTTTGACGACATTTTACCAGAAAGAAACAGTAATGCCAATATGCCAAACCAAGGCTTACCAGCAACTGATAGCTTTGAAAGAGGACCAAATGAAGATGCATTTGATAGATATAAGATTGGAGGGTACACTTACATGCAGAATATAATTGCTAATGAGATTTTGATCAACTCCAAAGGCACTGGAGCCTATATTTCAATGATGTATACAGGAATGAAGACAAATGAATATGTAAAAGATGATTTTGCTGAACAAATAATCAACATGTGGGGAGCGTTACTTATCTTTGTAATTTTAGCCCCGATGTACAGATTTTTATACAATTGAACTGAAGAAAAAGGATCTAAAATTAGAGAAGCTATGAAAATTATGGGTATGACTGACTTCCCATATTGGCTTTCTTGGCTTACATATTATATCGTTTTGAACACTCTTCAGTGCTTGCTGATGACCCTCCTGCTCATCCCAGTTTTTGAGTACACCAACAAATTCATTCTATTCATCCATTTATGGATTTACGGGATGTCTGTCTTTGGGTACTGTATCTTTATCTCAGCATTTTTCTCATCTCCCAAAGCTGCAGGAATGACTGGAATCATGCTGTTTTTCTCTCTTTCCTTCTGTATAACTATTGTAGGAGATAGATCTGTTTCTGAAACTTCAAAAAACTTCGCATCTCTGTTTCCATCCCTTGCAGTACAGCTTGGAGGAATAAATTTGCTGAAATACGAAGAAGTTGGACTAGGAGTCACTTTTAATAATGCTAACGATGTTTATGAAAATTACAGATTTGGAACCTGTCTTTGGATGAACTTAATATCCTTTTTCCTCTTCTCAGTACTCGGGATATACCTTGAAAATGTCTTACCATCAGCAGTAGGAGTCAGAAAACCTCTGTGGTTTCCATTCACGAAATCTTTTTGGTTTGACACTAAGAAAAATACACCAGAAAATGCGGATAATGAAGATGAACTTTCGAGAAGGAATTCAAACAAGATTAGGAATTCCTCTCATTTGGAAGGAAGTTCTCAAGAACATGTAGATATTGACCTCACCAACTTTGAAGAAGTCCCTGAGTACCTGAAGATAAAGGAGGCTGACCAGGAGTTTGTCAGGATCACCAACCTCAAGAAAAACTTTGATAAATTTTGGGCTGTGGATGGACTCTATAGTGAAATGTATGAAGGCCAAATCTTTGCTTTACTTGGACATAATGGGGCCGGTAAAACGACCACTATCAATATTTTATGTGGAATGATAGCCTGAACCAGTGGTAAAGCTTCTATTTATGGGTATGATATAAATGAAAACATGAAATCACTCAGGAAAATCATGGGTTATTGCCCTCAACACAATATTTTGTTCCCAAAGCTGACTGTAACTGAACACTTGAAGATTTTTGCTAATTTTAAAGGCCAGAAAAGCGATGAAATTTCTGAAGAAATTACTGAAATCTTAGATGATTTGAACATGACTGACAAAGCAAACGTGCTCTCAAAGGACCTCTCTGGTGGTTATAAGAGAAAACTCTCTCTAGGGATGGCCTTAATAGGAGGCTCTAAAATTGTATTCCTTGACGAACCCTCAAGCGGGATGGACGTCACCGCCAGGAGAGAGATGTGGGATATGCTGAAGAAATACAAAAATGACAGAATTATCATTCTTACTACGCACTATATGGAAGAAGCTGATAATTTGGGAGATCGAATCGGCATCATGTCTCAAGGAAAAATGCTCTGTTGAGGTAGACCAGAGTTTTTAAAAAATAAGTTTGGTGAAGGGTTCAACCTGGTAGTAGTCAAAGAACGAAGGGAGGAAAACCATAGCCTTGAAGACTTTATCATGAACTCCATTGATGGAGTTAGGAAGGTGTCTGAAGTCAGTTCTGAAGCTACATACTTGTTACCAAAAGACTCAACTGATAGATTTCCAGAATTCTTCAAAGAGTTTGATGAAAGACTTGAAGAATTGAAAGTAAATTCATATGGAGTCTCTATGGCAACTTTGGAGGAAGTCTTTCTTAAGGTTGAAAATTCAGGGAAGGAAGAACACCATAAGGCTATTGAGAGGATTAAGAAAAGAATGACCTCTGAATGCAACCAGGATCAAGAATATACAATTTCTAAGGAGCAAGTTGAAGGAGTTTTGAATGTATTTTTCTTGCATACTTGGGCTCTTCTGATAAAAAGATTCATCTTAACAAAGAGGAATATTAAAGGACTTATAATGGACATCATTGTTCCATTTGTTTTATTACTCAGTGGCTCTTGGTTTGTGACTGTTGATCATTACAAAAACTCTGCTCAAAGGATCCTTGAACCAAATTTATTCCCACTTGATCAGAGAGTCATTTATAACTCTTATAATGTTGGTGGACGTAACTCTGCAGATTTGATGGATTTATTGGATCCTTCATCTAATTTTACAATTTCAGATATCACCACTTCAGGATCAACCGAGAGAGAAAACCTAATCAATTTTGATAACCAAATATACAATGCTTCTCTTGTAAATCCCTTGTATCCATCAAGGTTTGGTCACTATTATTTTAACTTCTTGGATTATACAAATCATCAATATGAAGTTGCTACATTCTTTAATAGTACAAGTCAAGATGCTCATGTAGCCTTCCCTCATTTTATGTATGAAGCCATCCTTAAGAAGTCTATAAGCTCTAGCTTTAATTACACGATGATCAATGACCCAATGCCTATTGTTGATGTCTTCCAAGACCAGATTAGAGGGCTAGACTCTTTGTTCTTACTATTGCTTTATGCAGTTGCTCTAGCTTTGATCCCGGCCAGTATTATAGGATTTTTGGTTAATGAAAAATCTACAAATTTGACCCACCAACAAACCATTAGTGGAATGAATAAAGCTGCTTATTGGGTCTCCAACTACATCTTCGATATTACTAGGGTATTCGTGCCGATCCTGATCGCTATCGCTTTGCTGTACATCTTTGATATTGCGTACTCTTATGCTTGGTTACTGCTATTACTCTTCCCTTTTGCAATAGTTCCATACACATACGTAACTTCGTTCCTTTTCAGCGAAGATGCTCCAGCCCAGAATTTTACGATCATCCATCACATGATTATCGCAGGGATCTTCCCGATCATTTTATTCATCCTAAGACTGAACGAGAGTACTGAAGGCTTTGGTGATCATATAAGATGGATCTTCAGGTTGATTCCTTCGTATAACACTGTTGGTGGTATATCTTCCATTGCTATTAAAGACTATATTGCAAATAATAGACAAGAAACACCTCCAAGTCCTTTCTCTTTTGATGTAGCTGGAGCTGACTTGGTGTTTCTCTTTGTTCATATGATAGTCTGGCCTTGCCTCCTTATTCTCATTGAACTAGGAGTCTTCAATTTCTTAAGGAAGAAGGGTAAGAATGTTCCAGTCGAACAAGATGAGCTTGACAATGACGTCGAAGCTGAAAGATTTAAAGTAGAGCAAACCTCTGAATCCGAACTTGCTGTTAGAGCCAATCATCTAAGAAAAGTATTTGGGGATAAAGTGGCTGTTAAAGACATCTCATTTGCTCTTGAATTTGGAGATTGATTCTGCCTTCTTGGTGTCAATGGAGCAGGCAAGACCTCAACTTTTAAAATGCTAACTGGAGATATCCTCCCAACTACAGGAGAATCTCATATTTGAAGTTATGATGTAAAGAAAGATTTCTCTCAGGCCAGGAAGCAAATTGGCTACTGTCCACAGTTCGATTGTATCTTTGAATTGATGACAGTCAGAGAGCATCTTGAGTTTTACACAAAAATCAAGAAGATCCCTCGGGAATACTCATCTAAACTCATTGAAGATCAACTCAAAAATATGAATCTTGAAAAATATGAAAACAAACTTGCAGGAACACTTTCTGGAGGAAATAAGAGAAAACTCTCTGTGGCAATGGCAATGATCGGAAACCCACCAGTTGTATTCCTCGATGAGCCATCTGCAGGGATGGATCCGAAGGCAAGGAGATTCATGTGGGAAGTTATTGCCAAGATTTCGACCAGAGGAAAGAACTCAGCTGTGATCCTAACCACCCACTCAATGGAAGAAGCAGAAGCTCTTTCTACCAATATGGGGATCATGGTCGGAGGCCAATTTAAATGCTTTGGCTCAAAGCAGCATATCAAGAACAAGTTTGGAACTGGGTACCAAGTAGAGCTCAAGTTTAAAAAGCTACATGAAGAAGAAGTTGACCATTTAATTGACAAAATTGATTTACTAAATTTCTTAAGAGATAAGTACGTAACATTGTATGAAATTGACAATACCAAACAGAAAGACAGAATTCTGCTAAGACAAGAAGCTTGTAGAGGTGTTCTTCAAGATCTTCTTCAAAGCCCTAATACCTTGAATGAGCTCCATGAAGGAGGCTTTGGAAGGGAAGTTATGAAGACTCTTAAAGAGAAGGGATACTATCCCGCTGATGAACTTATTCAATGGAATCATATAACCAAAAATAATCTTGAAGCAATTAACATACTTGGTAAGTCAGATCTGAGAGCTAAGTTCTAATCTCTCTTTTAGCCTCTGAATTCGGTGAAGTTGATCTTGTTGAGCAGATCCATCCAAGATTCAGATATTCAGTGCAGAAGAAGGGGAAATCTGTAGGATACTTCTTTGGACTTCTTGAAAGAGTTAGTGAGAAGCTTGATTTGGATGAGTATTCAGCATCTCAGACAACTCTGGAACAAATCTTTAATGGCTTCGCTAGATCTGAAGATCACAAAGCAGTTCAGAGAAAGTTTACTAACACAGAGTTGGTAATACACTCAGGAGGAGAAAATTATGACTCACAATCTTTTAAAGAAGAATTTAAAAGGCCTAACAAATTTCAAAATTTCAGAGTCAATATTCAGAAATCTAAGATTTCTGATCTGATAGATCAAGAGGAATAACAATTTATTATATTGGTTCAATCTAGATGATAAAATTTGGGGTTTTGGGGTTTTGGGGTTTTGGGGTGTTGGGGTTTTGGGGTGT